CTTCCGTATGTCTCGAATGAGAAGGATCTCGGTGTCATTGTCCAAGACGATCTAAGTTGTTCTTTAATCTGCTCCAGGGCGTCGTCCACCGCGGTAAGACATGTTAGTTTGCTGAAGCGAGCACTTGGCAAATTTGAACCTACGCTGTTTCCACGGTTGTTATCATTCTACATTCGGCCCCACATAGAGTATGCAATTCAAGTGTGGAATCCATAGCTGCAACGCGATCGGAAGATTCTGGAACGTCCACAATGGCCAAGGGACTGCATTCGAAGACTTATGTGGAATCACTGGAATCACTGCAACTGTACTACACATTGTATCGCCGAATTCAAGAGGACTTAATTTTGGTTTCAAATAATGCAGAACCTTGATCACCCATGTCGTTTACTCTTCGTCTTGTCGTTCAACACTCAGTTCAAGGGGCACTCATTCAAATTAATGCCCCGAAACTGTTGACTAGAATGCTGACGTCATTCATTTGCCCTCAGATTGTGCACTATTTGGAATTCTCTACCAACTTACGTTGTTTCTGTAGCCACAGTTAATTTTTTCAAGCAAAAACTGGATGAAACATTGTCAAGTGCGAAATTTTGACATCCGTGGCAGCGCATGAAACAAAGAAAATTTGTGGTATTCCTCAAATTTCTATGAAGCGTTAATCGCTTCATCTGTGATAAACCCTATGGGACTAGAAAAGCTACCGCTTGTAAGTATTTCCCATATAACAACTTTGACTATGACAAAGGTATCGTCCCCATAGCGCCACCAGAATCTTGGAATCAGGGTTGTCGAATTCAGCAGGGGTTCTTCCAAATCTTCCATGAACAAGTTCGCAATCATCGGTGAAATGGGTGATGCCATGGTAGCACCGTTCGTTTGTTTGCAGAGTGAACGGTTATACACAAATAACGTTGACTTCAGACATAATTCAGTTGCTTTCGTTAATTCGTCGTCTGTTAAGTTCGTTCGATCACTGAGTGTGATCCTCGTGAAAAAATCTTAAAGCTTCTGATTGGCACTATGCTCCGTTGATTCTCCTCCGCACATGTAAGAACCAGGGTCGTTTCGAGTCGGGTCAATTAAGTATCGACCGCATTTCTACCCTTCGCCAAACTGTTAACCACAGACATTCCTTCCGTAGGCACGCCATATGCGACGGCCCTTATCTAGAAACAGTCTTAGGATCAAATGATTGCACGGTACTCTGAGGATGTTACTCCTTGATTTAAGGGGTAGGGAAAGTTCACTTTTTTCACGCAATCCTTACATACAAACTATCAAAGTAGTGTTCCAGATTACGACACTTTTTCGCTCGAATTCATAAAGAAAAGCGTTGTACATTAGGACTGTCATCTCACTTCTCTACTCCTCAACCGTGTAATATGATTTCAGGTAGCCGCCCTGTGCGCGCGTGAGGATAAAAGCATTGATGGACTCACAGGTGGCAGGTTGTCTGATTTAGAGAACACAAACGACATTGTGCTGCTAAATGAAGACACAAGTAAGTTACAAGCCTTTCCAGATAGTTTGAGTGCTAGTTTGGTCATGATAATGATGCAATTTGCGCTTTCAAAGTGTAAAGTGTTGCTACAGGAATGAGTAAATGCAATTCCCAACCTCAGATTAATTTGGGAAGTAAAAGAGAAAGTAGGCAAATTTTAATATTTTGGCAGCTATATCTCACTTAGGGAACGATTCTCGGAAGAAATTTCGGCACGTCAATAGGTTTGTTATTTGATAACTTGAGAAATCTGTGGGGTCGCCACGACATTCGTTACCGATGAAGAGTAGAGTATATGATGTAGATGCAGGTCGATCTTTCGCTACGGTGCAGAGAATTGAACAAAAACACAGACTATCGGTATCCAAATGTTGCCATCTAGGTAGCGTTGCACGGGTCTGATCGGGCAACCCAGCAAGCTAAACGAAGAGTTCAAGGTGATCGCAGTCGTACACTGAAGTAAATACTTCACATCCGTACATTAGTAGGGATGGGGGCATGAGCAACGCAGATCACCGGATAGGCTTCCTCGGTGAGCAATGTTTGCCGAGGCAGGTAATGGTTAGAAGATCAAAGGTGGCCAGAAAGAGACCTAGCATATGTATCAGGGGATTTGGACACAAGAGCTAGGTTAGGCCTTCCGTTTGGGGAGCTCTAGATCAATCAAGTCTATGGTTAGAGACATTCAACGATATGATTTAACGTGGTGCTCATTCAGTTACCCGAATTCTCCGCAAATTTAGTTCAACTGCAATTGGGTACAGTTTTTACCTTTTTAATTCTCCTCTTTACTTGATAAAGATGATCATCCACAAGACAGAAGACAAATCCGACGAGTGAAAGTGCGAAAGTCTACTGATTGTATGCACTGAACTGAACTGAACACCCAGTTGGGAAAACTCCTGTCGGCAGAACAAGTACTCTACAGTGGCTTAAAAAACGTATTCTGATAAGGCGGATCGGATGGATGAACGTTAATTGATCAAGTTCCACATCGAGTTACACACAAGTTTGATTAAATGCATTGAATTGACAATCACACAGCAGGACAATGTACGGTTCATGGTGTTAGCTTCTCTTGGGCTGTTGCGGTTAGGCAGTGACGATTAGCGTGTCCTTTCTTTTTGCGCTGTTCCTGTTGGGTTGCCTGGATCGTTGAGAACTATGTATCGATTCTGTCTGCATCGCCCTAATAGTTAGTTGCTGATCGCGTGCCGAGCTGTAGCCGTCGACCTGTTTTTTTAGAGTTGTTTTCAACATTGTCTCGGGCGTGTGTGTGTCTCGTGGCAGAGTCTCTGTTCCCATTCTGGTTCATTATTTTCACCCTCCGAGAATCATCTTCCATCACAATAACAATGTAGTGATCGGTTTCCCAACGCATATATTTAAACAAACACAATCTCAACAAGGCAAAAGTTACCTGAGAAACAACACTTACCGGTAGTTCGCCGGTGAGGGGATGCGAAGAGGGACTTCAATTTTGGGTAGAGTTCGAATATAGCGAAGAAACAACCTGTAACCAAGTAGGAGAAAATTGGCAAGCAATTAAAGATCGCCAAAACGGAACGGATGAAATGAAAGCTGGATAGGCAGACAGGTCAGATAATCAGTGATAACAAGATTACCACAAACTAGAACGTAGACTCACCGATGTAATTGAATACTGAGCAAACTAGCCATCCAGTCGGCCTTTTCTTCCTGAGTGCGAAATGATAACCAAACGTGGTGTACTGTCAATCCCGCTGGACAGTTCGCATCTGCACAACACCCACCTCCAGTTGCCCCATTACCTCCAGTCCCCGTTCCAATATCACCACGACACAAATCACCCGGAGGTAAAGTAAGAGGACACTGAGATTTTTGTGGTGGGCTGCTATGGCGGGTTTGTGAACCACTAGAGAGGCGTTGGACGGAGGTCTGAGCCAGACTGGAACTAGCAAATTGGGCTGGGTCAATAAATTCTAATTCAAAGCTGTGTGGATATGAGGTGCAGCCAGAACTACTCGTGTTGACCAGACTGGAATGTCCAAGAATCGACCCGTTCAATCCGGAACTAGAAAAGTCTGGGAAAGAGAAGAGCTTCACAACAGTGTGGAGAATGTATTCGACGTAAGACATCAGGGTTAGCTTGTTCGAAAACAAAAAGAAAAATTTCCAA